TATCATTATTTAGTTTCGATGACAGTATCATTGTCATTCAGCCATTTGACTTAGGGTTCATCAAAAAGTAAAACAACACTCAAACATTCGTCAACAGTAACAGTTTATTTATTGATTTAATTACCATTTTATCAACTTACATAGGAAAAACATCATTAGCACCTGTCTAGGTGTGCGTAGATTACGTAGCTTACACCAATATCACTTTTCTAGCCTACCACAAACCAATATCACCGGCCTACGTAAATCAATATCACCTACAATAAAGAAAATTATATTCTATTCAAGACATGATTTCTTATAAAATAGCCGGCATTTCTTATTTCATTCAAAATAACTTATAACTGAACCAAAATGGCGTATCTCTGTCGAGGGCTGATTAAGGTTCTTTACCATAATCCCAACAGAGGCACAAGTCGAGTTTGGGATGTTATAGAATCTTAGCCGTAATGGAGGCAATCGCCCAGTTACAGCTAACTCGTTGTTGTTTTTTTCAATTCCTTAGTTCGGAACATATTTAATTTCACCATAGTTTAAAATTATCCCATCTGGGGCCTCAAATTTATGTTGAATCTGTGATACTAAAGCTACCTTTCAAAGCTTCCGCGTACACAATGTAGTCCGTGCTTAACAGGTATCAAAATATATTATTATGTATAATATCGTTAATGAAATAACACCAAAAACCGTTCAACGACAAAATGGAAGGTTTTAAATGCGGGTTGTTATATATTTTATTGTGTGGATGATATACACCGTCGTCTGAAATTTTGCAATAAATGTAACGTAAAGGGTCAGACAGGTCAAACGAGACAGAAACATGGGGTATAACGTGGGATATTTCTGTCGAAGGTATACACTTTACTCACGGACTACATCATTTTCGTGTCGTCATCACTTAAACAGTAACAGATCTATAAACATCAGCGAGATATCTGCACTCAAGGTCGACTCATCTCGAAAATGAACTCAAAATATTAAACGCGCAGTTATTCACAGTGTGAATAAATAAGTGAATAAGACTGAAGGCAGTGGTTAACAGATTACAATAATAAATGTTGATAAATGACAGCCAAGGGCGTGGTGAGCCGTGGTCACTACATGGATGACATGCTACACAACATCTACCCTCCTTATATCGGCGTATCCTCATATTGTACATGACTTCGGTTCGGCCGTGCCAAATCATACATGGCATCGCCCTACCCTCGTCAGATCATAAATGACATTGATCGATCTACCATCTTGTTGTCATACATGACATTGATCGATCTACCATCGTGTTGTCATACATGACATTGATCGATCTACCATCTTGCTGTCATACATGACATTGTTCTACCCTCCTGATGTCATGCATGACAGCAGTCGTTGCATGAAGATAACACGTCAAAAAAGTGAGCAGTTCCGGTGTGGAGAGAACTAATAATGAGCAAACAAACAAAAATACAGAAATTATCAACGAACCATAACAGTGACTGAACGGAAACAGACACAAGTGTTTAACTACAGTCCATGACACCATTACAACGTACGGTTCACGGCCCTGCTCTCATGTCATGCCCTTCCTGTTAGAAAAAAAGGATCTAAAAAAAATAACGTTTTTTAAATTCACAAAATCAAATGTCAAAGAGGTCATGTAAGCAAACATTCAACACTAGAGAATGATGCCATATAACGTGTGTTCTGTGAAATGAGAATCGTCCAAAACTTCACGAGTTATCTGTAACTACGACGACTCTGGGAGAGGGACTGTGTATCCCGGAGGATACGCCCCCCTGCGCATCCGTCCACAACACCGCTGGATCACTTCCAGCGTCATGTCTATCGTCTTGGCGACGTCTTTCGCGTCACCTAACATTGGGTTGACCTCCGCAATATCCACTACGGACAATCGGCCTGCAAGCAAAAGAAAATAGGTAAGGGGGTTGAAGTGGGAGTGACTCTGGGAAAGCCGCCTGGACAATAATTTTTCGATTTTGCAGCATTAATACTTAAAAAAAGCTTTGATCACCAGCAGGATTAGACCATTCACACTAGAAACTGTACATGTTGGAGCGCCAGTAGGGTAAGACCATTAACACCAAGTACATACCGGTAGCGGCCATCACCTCTGCTATGTATAGTCCCTCCCTCAGGGAGAGCCCGCCATGCACGGGGGTGCCCGTACTGGGAATTAAGGTGGGGTCCAGAGCGTCCACATCAAAACTCATGTGAATTGGTTTGTCACCGCTGAAAGTATGACAAATTGGTGTCATCGCATGAACAAGGACATGGCAACGAAAGCACACTAACGCAAAAAGAATAATTAATAACGACTTTGACCATAGGCATATATCTGTTCACATGTTTTATATGTTATGCTGAAATTTTTGACATGCAGCAAAGTTGTGACAAATTCCACTTTCAATGCCTCAGCTACAGTACGACATTCCGTTTAAAAGACCATCTGGTGTTCGCAAATAGAAAGCATTTGAGGTATTTGTTATGTGTTTGTATTGTTTTCGGTCGTGATAATTAAGCAACAACTTACGTCGGGTCTACTGCTTTCAGTGCCATATCTACGACTTCCTTTATTCCAAATCTGTCAACTTCCTGCATTGAGAATGCTGGAATGCCAAGCATTTCGATGATTTTCCTGTATAAACAAATGTAAATGTATATTACTATTGAGTTCAGACGTGTTGTCTACGTTTGATATACGGGACAGTAATGAATGTTTTTAACAATACACACACAGCTAGGGTACAGTTGAAGGTACCTACCTCTCACCAGGGTCCACGTCCCGCAGTCCAATGTAGGCAAGATTCTTGGCGGAAATACTGCAAAGGCAAAGAAGAACAATCAATGAAACATATTTCATGAAAACGAATTGCTTCAAATAGTGAGCTATTAAATATCATTATCAATACACGACGCATCCTTCCATACAGGGGTAGGAATCTGGAATGTTAACCTATACGATATCTGATTATTACTGCGACATTTTACATAGCACTCTTATCTCCCTAGATTAAGTCACTCTAATGCGTTTTATTATAGATAGATAGATAGATAGATAGAT